TCAGTGGGACTGCACAGATGACCTTCTTCTCTAGCTATAAAACAAATCTATCATTCTGGGGTTTGGGGATAGGAGTTAACATGTAAAGAGCTTTACAAACATTGTGTGATGACTAACTTTGATAGACTTAGCTCTTAACAGCAATGCAATGATCTAAGACAATTCCAAAAGACTCATGATGGAAAATTCTATCCACATCCAGAGAAAGAACTATGGAGTCTGAATGTAGATTGAAGCATAGTATTTTCTTGTTTTTCTCCTTTCTTGTGGTTTTTCCCTTTTGCTCTCATTTTTCTTTACAAGACGACTAATGTGGAAATATGTTTAATATGGTTATACATGTATAGCCTATATCAGATTGCATGCCATCTTGGGGAGGGGAGGAAGGGGGAAAAATTTAGAACTCAAAATCCTATAAAAGCAAATGTTGAAAACTAAAAATAAATTAATTAAAAAAAAATTTAAGAGCTTTCAAGACTTAAAGCTCTATATAAATGCTAGCTATTATTATTGTTCTACCTTCCAGCCAAACCAGTCTGCTTCTAGCTCCATCTTCCAACTTCATGCCTGTGCAAAGTCTGTCCCCCATGTCTAAAATGCCTTCCTTAGTAACCTCTGTCTCCTAGCTCCTCTCTATCCAGAGATTTCTTTAAAGCTCAGTTCAAATACTACCTCTTACTAAAGAGAAACTCCCCACCAGAAACATGGTTTGTGTTCAGTTTTTTATATCCATGTTGTCTTTCCCCCTCCTTTAAGAGCATCAACTCCATGAGGGTAGGGAGTGTGTCATTTTTGTCTTTATATTCCCAGATTGTAACCTAATACATGGCATGAGAGAGTAGGTACTTGAGCAAATTCTTGTTCCATGAATAAAGGGAAAAAAATATGAGCTAGTCACATGGTAAGAATAAGGATTAGCAGGTAGGTAGTCCAAGTGTTCCACTGGTATCCACAAGATGTCAAGAAAGTGTGGAAGGATGTAAGTATATATCTCCTGTGGTGAACTCGTGAGAGAAGAGTAGTACAGAATGAATAGGACTCAACAGGCTGTGCTCTACACCATCAGAGGGAACATCCAAATCTGTGAGATCATGGATCCTTTGAAGAACGGAACAGACCATCCAATTATTTCACTATATAATAGTTAGAATCATGGAATTTTAAAATTGGAAGAGATCTTGGAGGTCATTTAATCCAATCATTTCATAGATGAGGAAACTGAAATGAAAAGAAAGTAAGTATCTCCCCTAAGATCAGCTCATGACTGTCAGAGGCAGGATTTGACCCCATGTTCTCTGACTCCAGACCTAATATTCTTTCCACTATACATACCATATAGATCATCTTATATTTAGTAGCATACCTTTCAATTCATTCTGGTAACTGAGGTATAATATATTCAGAAGTTATGCTATTTACAGCAAAAGAAGTATTCAAGAAAACATGTGCTGTGGGTAGGAGGCTACAGGTCACCTTTCCCAGGCTCCTTGTAAGAAAAGTAATTAGATCTCTCTCAAAGTAGAATAGACTGTCTCTGGAATTAGCGAGTTCTAAGTCTTCAAGCAAAAGCCGGATGACTGCTTTTCAGGGGTGCTCTAGAGGACATCTCCATTCAGGAATAGGTTGGACTAACTTACAATTTAATAAATGTTTCTAAGGGGCATCAAGAAGGCTGAAGCCTTAAAAAAAAGAAAGTTCATTAGGGTCAGCAGCTAGGAGAACACCAATAACCTTGGAGAGAGGTTTCACTTGAGTAATGAGGTTGCAGGCCAGATTGCAAAGGGTTGAGGAGAGGAAAGGAAACCACCCTTTCAACAATTTGTTCTAGAAATGTGTCAGAAATCAAAATCTAGCTCACTAGCCCATAGTTTCCAAACTACAATCCTTTCTTTCAAAAAATGTGTATGTGAAGGGAAGGACAATTATACGTCCTTCTCTTTTTTCCAAGACCTTTCAGAGATCACTAACAGCAGCTGAACAATCATACCTATTAGTTCTTGCAGTCCTCTAGGATGTCCAGGTTTTTGAATCTATTGAAGGCAATTTGGTGCTGTCTCTGCACTTATGAATTTCAACACTTCATTTTTGTTTTATCCTGACTGGTCCCAGCCAAAGATAATTCTCCTTGGGATAGAAAGAGAAATAAAATAGGAGTTGAATAGTTTCTACCTTCTCACTGTCATATATCATTATCATTGCCTCCACCTCAAGAAGTGCTCATGTATCTTCTCTGACAATCCCTCTTTCACCTCCCCAAAATGTCTTTTTTTAAGTCCTCCTTTGTTGTTTTTAATATTTCTCGGTTTTCACTCAAATGCTTTCTACCATGTTCCCTTATCTATTTTTTTTTATTATTTACTACCCTAGAATATGTTCTAAATGTGCAATGACATTCTTTCCTATCTCCACCCCCCCCACCCCCCCACCCCCAAACCTTTTGAATATGATACACCTGTATAATCAGGAGTATGCTGTTAAACATTTAATAACCAGCTTTGGGGTGGAGTGGGGGTGGGAATGGTACACATTTTAAAATTTAAACTGCGTTATTAACATTTTCTCCATCACTTTCTGAAGTCTAGATAATCAATAAAACAATAAATCAAGCAATGACGTATGAAGTTTGCTGATTTCTGAGGTGTAAATGCTCATGCTGAAAATTTATCACCTCTTGAGATGGTACAAGCTAGCTCCAGAACAGCAATGCTCAGAATGCCATATTCCAGTGGGCGAGGGGGGGTGAGGGGGGGTGAGGAGGGGGGAAGCGGGTTTTACTTGGCAAATATATTTAGGTAGTCTTCTGCCTGCCTCTCACTTTTCTACTTAAAGACACTTTGATTAGATTTGCAAGACTCCAAGAAAATATATTTTTACTTGCCCTCATTAGGTGTAATCCATAGCCACGGGCCATAAATTCAAACCTATTCTATCTTCTTAACAACTGCTCACTTCCCAAACCCACCTTTATCTACTGAATCCGCTACCCTCAATCAGCAATTGTTAGACTCGGAAGAGATAACAGCTGTTTGTTTAGTTTGAAGAGAGCTGGCAGCTGGTTGGGAAGAGTGATTGTTGTTCATCTATAAAGGATTATTAGGACATTCTCCTTTCTCTGGTATAACCAGAGCGCACACATTGCTCTCTTATCATTTGAATTATTGCTGTTGTTATATCCTTGGGTTCTGGGGTGATAATGATGATTTGCAAAGAGAATGAGTGGCAATGCACATTCTGAAGATTGTCCTCTCATCCTCTCACTGAAGTTCCCAACAGGAGGATACAAATTAGTAAGATACCAGGTAACTGGATAAACTGGGAGCATGCATGCAAGTCCCTAGAGTTCCAGTTTTCCCCTTTCTATGCCCTTGGGAGATACTTCTGGTAGGCCTTTCTAATTTAGGTGGGGCTGAAGAGAGAGCCACAGAAGACATTTAGGGACTCAGATGTAGAAAAGTAAGTCAGACAGAGTGGAAAGCCAGAGCAGCTTCTGAAAACATCAGCAGCTTGTGAAGCTGAGACCAACAGACTGGACTGCCTCCCCCACCTCATCCTCAATTACTATTTACTATATTATTAGTTCCTTTCTTCCTTGTAGAGCCAAGCCCAAGTCTGAGAGCCACACAGGTCCCAGAACACAATCCCATCCCTTCATCTTTCCCATGTTCTGAGGGATGAGAGAGGATAGGAAATAAAAGGGGGAGTGGATTAAGAATCGTCCCTGAAACACCCTGGAAGAGAATGCTGAGAGGAGGCCTTGGCAAGAGGTTTGAGTTGCTGATGAGGAAACACTCAGCAAGGGGATTAATTAGAGGTTTTCTTTGCAATTTAGCTAGCTTTAATAAGCTATGTGGGCAGCTAGGTTGTGCAGCGGATAGAGTGCAGGGCTGGGAGCAGGAAGATTTATCTTTGAAGTTCAAATCTGGCCTCAGACACTAACTGTATGACTCTGGGCAAGTCATTTAACCCTGTTTGCCTCAGTTTCTTCATCTCTAAAATGAGCTGAAGAAGGACATGGCAAACCATCCCAGTCTCTTTGCCAAGAAAACCCCAAAGAGGGGTCACAAAGAGTCAAACATGACCGAACAACAACAAAATAAGCTACGTGGCTATGAAAAGTAATTGCCTTTTAATATAAAAAGGGTCAAGACTGAATCAAGATTCCCTAGATGTGAAGGACAAAGGCTCTGAAGCCACAGGCATTTTTCTTGTTGTAATTGTGAACAATATTTAATATTAACCCACGGGCAGAGATTCAAAACCCAGTCTATGAAGGTTTCTTCCAAGTCCAGCCCTTTTGAAATGATGCAGCTAGGTATAGTAGATGCTTTGTACACACACACAGGTGTACATGTACACAAGTTCTTTTACTAACATGACAAAAGATGGCACCATTGGGCGAGTGGCTTGAATATATCCCCATCTGGTGGGAAAATGATATATCACACTTCCTCTCTAGTGAATTCATCATAAAGGGTTATCCTGCCTTCTTGTGAGCTTGAGGTAAGCAGGACACAAGAGGAGTGAGTTATTGCTAACCCTGAAGATCTTCACATATCATCTGGGACACTGACCACAGGCACATGTAAACTGCACCACTGTCACGTCGATAATTGGTGACATGAGTGTACCTAAACTGGCTCTTCAGAAAGTGTAATGAGTAGTGCGCTAAGAACAAATTGTGTGCAGTTAAAGTTCTAGAGGTAAAGAGTATGGTTAGATAATAATATAACTGGAAACCGCCAGAGGGTTTCAATATATATTTTTTCAAAGTACAGGTTGCTAGGTAGTTCATGGGATGTTGGATGCCAATCTTTAGTAGTTTTAGGGGTGACCCTCCAATGATCTGCATCCAGTGTTCTTCATGGAGTGAGAAACACCTGAGTTCAAATCCTGCCTCAGAACTTACTAGCTGTGTGATCTTGGGCAAGTCATTTAATGTCTCTTAAGACCATCAAATGAGTTACTATTTATAAAGTGCTTTGCAATACACTTGCAGATCCCTGTAAGATTGGGTTCACCATTAAAGTGAGTCTTCATCAGCAAGGGCATTGGAAAGAATGGAAGATTAAAGCAGCTTGCGGAGGTAACTATCCCCTCTATGTCTAGCCGTCGAAGTTGAGTATATGGCGGATCCTAGTGCTTCCCCTCGAAAACTTTTAACACCTTGGGACAAGGGTGAGAAAATCTTGGCAGAAGGGAGATATTCTGAGTGACAGAGTTCTTCTGAGTAGCCTCCATATGGGAAGGCGGTAGGTGGTCCTAAGGAAAAAGAGATAGAAGAAGACCCAGAGTCAGAGGATCAGAAAATGTTTGTGAGTAGGTCTCACAAATTATTATGGCAGTTGTGTTGCCATTAAGAATGACAAATGCCAGGGCGGGGAAAGGGGAAAGAGGGGTAAGAGCTGCTAGATGGTGCAGTGGATAGAGCACCAACCCTGGATACAGGGAGACCCTAGTACCAATCTGACCTCAGACACTTGACACTTACTAATTGTGTGACCCTGGGCAAGTCACTTCACCCCATTGCCTCACCAAAAAAAAAAAAAAAAAAAAGACAAATGGGATAGCTATGCAAAAGTGTGGAAAGGTATGTCCAAATTAGTAAAAAGTGACTACATTTGAATTTGAAATGTATATTGGTCGCAACTATGTGAAAATTATGTTTGTATGATCATAAGATTCAGGACAAATATACTAGGTTACAAAATTTCATAGATTAACATATAATCCTCTTTTTTATTATATATTGAAATGTTCCTGTTTAATGAATCACAGAATTCTCAAATTCTCTGTAATAGAAGAGACCTCATCAACCATCCAGTCCAACTATTACATACCTGACAAACCTCCACTTGTAACCTCTAAGGAGTGGGGAACCCACCACCTTAGGAGGCAGTCCTTTTGACTCTTGGTAGCTAGTGATTAGTAGGTAGAGAACTGAGCCTGGAGTCAAGAAGACCTCAGTTCAAATCTGGCCTCAGATACTAGTTGTGTGACCTCTGTTTGCCTCATTTTCCCCAACTGTAAAATGAGGATAATAATAGCACTTAATTCACAGAGTTGTTGGGAAAGTGCTTATCACAGTGCCTGGCACATAGTGAGTGCTATATAAATGATTATTTCCTTCCCCTCATCCCCTTCTTGGATAGCTCCAATTGTTAGAAAGTTTTCCCAAAGTTGAGTTTAAATTTGATTCTTTGCAACTTTCATCTATTGTTCTAGGTTTTGCCCTCTGGAGCTAAACTGAACAAGACTAATCTTGCCTCTTATCTGAAAACAGCCTTTCAAATATGTGGATGGACCATCCTTCCCCACCCTCACCCCCAGGCTTCTTTCTTTCGTCTCTTTCAGACAATCTTCATCTGACATTGACTCAAGACCATTCACCCTTCTGGTTGCCCTTCTCTCAACATTCTCCAGTTCATCAGTGTTCTTAAGCTGTGGTCCCCAGAACTGAAGACTGTCCTCCAGAGAAGGCCTAACTAGGGCAGCATACAGTGGGCTTATCACCTCCCCCTTCCTGGAAGATACACCTCTCTTAGTGCAAACCAAGATAGCATTACCTTTCTTCGTGGCCACATCCTTCTGCTGATTCATTAAACCTTCAGTTCGATAAAACCCCCAGATGCTTCAACTGATGTCTAACAACTCTTTCTCTATCCTATTCTTGTGAGGCTGATTCCCAAGTATAACGTTTAATTTAACCCTATTGAATTTCATGACATTAGATTCAGTCCAATGCTAGCCTGTCAAGATCTATTGGATCCTAACTCTATCTTCCATTGTGAGTTGATGACTAAATTTATAATAAAAATGAATTTTTTTAAGTTACAGGGCTGCTTTTAGTTTTTATTTTTTGTTGATATTTTATGATCTTCCTTTTCAATACTAAACTGGTTAAATATACTAAAGGAAAACAGACTACTACATACTGTGGGGTTTTTACTTCCTTTTTTCTGTGCGTGGCAGTTGCTCCATGGGCGGATGAATACATTGGGACCACAAAGCTTGAAAGAAAAAGGCAAATAAGTTCCCTCAAATAAAAATTTTTAGTTTCATTCCTGTAAATCACTCTTCACTAGCACATGTTAAATTCCTTGTTCTTTGACAGTTTCCAAAGTCAAGCAGCATTCTTGTGTCTTGGAAGAGATACTGTAAGATAATACCTTTTGGAACAAAATGGAAGAGCTGCATCCAGTATTCTTCATGGAGGAAGACTTGAGTTTAAATCCTACCACAGAAACTTACTAGCTGTATGATCTTGGACGAGTCACTTAATGTCTTTCAAGCCTAAGCTTCCTTATCTGTGTGTAAAACGTGGGTTAAAAGTAGCACCTACCTCCCAGGATGGTTGTGAGCATGAAATGAGTTAATATTCATAAAGTGCTTTGCAATATAATTGCTAGCTACGCTTATTATTCATATAAAGAAACCAATGACCAAACACTTCCCTCAAGTCTACAAGTCGATGAGAATTTGCCAGGCTTTATGATAAGTGCTAGGGATACAAAGAAAGGCCAACAAAACCCAGTTCCTGCTGTCAAGGAGCTCAGTCTGATGGAGGAGACAACATGCAAAAACTTCACATGAACAAGATACATACAAAACATATTGGAGGTGATCTCAGAGGGAAGGGACTAGAATTAAGGAGGATATGGAAAGACTTCCAACACAAAGGGAGCTGAGACTTGGAAGAAGCTGGGGAATCCAGGAGGTGGAGATGAGGAGGGCAAGAATTTTAGGCATAGGGGGACAGCCAGTGAAAATGCATGGAGTCTTGAGATGGAGCGTTTTATGTGAGGAATTGTGAGGAGACCAGTGTCACTGGATCACAGAATAGGTAGAAGAGGGGAGTGAGGTGTAAGAAGGATGAAAAAGGTAGGAAAGGGTCAGGTTTTAAAATTCCAAATAGAGGATTTTATATTTAATTCTGGAGGTAATAGAGAGCCCCTGGAGTTTATCGATTGGGGGTGGAGGGGAAGAAACACGTTCAGATCTGTGCTTTAGGAAGATCAAATTGACAGCTGAGTAGAGGGTGGACTGGCATGGGAAGAAATACGAAGATCAATTAAAAGGCTATGGTAATTGTCCATGTGTGAGACGTTAAGGATGTGCTCCAGAGTAGCGGCAGTGTCAGGGGACACAAAGGGGAGTATATGAGAGATGTGGCCAAAGTACAAACGACGGAGTAACTAAACTAACAGATCAGTTATAGGGAGTGAGGAGTTGAGGAGGCATGTATCCTGGCATGTATCAGGGTAGATGTCTCTCCAGGAAACGTCCTTTGGGCAAGGTGACACCCACAGAAATGAGAGCCCACAACTGGAAACTTTGTGAGCTGACTAAAAAGAGGCTGCAACCCAAAGAGGACGTGAAACTCTGACCTTTAGATCTCATTTCATAGAGGAAGACTGGGATTTCCCCATGTTTCCAGACATACAAAAATGTAGAAAAGTAAATGTAACAACTTTATACAAAATCAAAATGGAAATAACTCTGCTGGACGTCTGCTTTCATGGATTTGTGTGCATTTACCATTGGTTCTGGGCTCCATTTCCAACTTTGGTAATTAGTCATATTTATACTAAATAACTATTATAACTTTATTTTTCTTACTCTATAGTTCTATTGCTTGTGTCTATCCCCTTAAAATAATCTAGTAGACAACAGAATTTTTCCACATTCTTCCCACCACCTGCTATTCTTTTTAAAGGTTTCTCCAAACCCTCCATGACAATATATAGAAGGTAACAGCACCACAAAGAGCCAAGAGTCCAACTATCTGACCATTAGTAAGAGGACTGGGCAGCTAGGTGGCACATTGGATAGAGTGCTGGGCCTGTAGTCGGGAAGATTCACCTCCCTGAGTTCAAATCCAGCATCAGACACTTCCGAGCTGTGTCACTCTGGAAAAGTCACTCAACTCTGTTTGTCTCAGTTTCCTCATCTGTAAAATGAGCTGGAAAAGGAAATGGCAAACTACTCCAATATCTTTGCAAAGAAAACCCAAATGGGATCATGAAGAGTTAGACATGACTAAAACAAATAAGCAATGAGAGAATAATAAAGAAAGGAAATGGCAAGAGTGTTCATTTTCTCTTCTGACATAGTAATTAGACTAATGATGAGATGCAATGAGTGTAATGGCTAGTGATGGACTTGGGAATCAGGAAGATCTAGGTTAAAAGATCCTGCCTTTGGCACTTAACCAGCTGTGTGACTATGGGCTTCAATCAACTCTTTATCATGATCTGCAAATGTATAGACACTGTGATCCACACTGGTGAATGGAAATCCCTTATGTGATAGTGCATTAGACAGACCAGAGCAAGGAATGACAAGGACTCTGAATTCTAACAAAGTAGTTGATAAAGTGCCTCATGATATCACTGCAGATAAGATAGAGATGTGGACTGAATAATAATATTAGTAGGTGGATTTGGAATTAACTGAGTGGTCAGACCCAAAGTCTAGATGATTAATGTCAAAGTGGAGAGCAACACCTAGTAAAGGCCTAGTTCTGTTCAACATTCTAATCAAGGCCTTGAACAACAACATAAATGGTATGCTTAATGCATCTGGGGTTGACACAATATTGGGAGGAATAACTAATACATTGGACAATAAATATAATCAGGATCTAAAATCATCTCACCAAAGTAGAAGACTGGCCAAAGCTAATAAGATAAAATTTAATAGGCGTGAGAGTAAAGTCCTACCAAATAGTTCATGTGAAAAAGATCTTGAGGTTTTAGTGAACTATGAACTCAATGGGAATCAACAGCATGGCATACTTATTGGGTCTGTGATATTAGTAATGCATGTAACTCCCTCCACTGGTACAGATTGCAACCCATCCATACATTCTCATCTGGTGATGTGAATTCCCCAAGAGCAGGAACTACTTTGTGCCTTTCTTTGAATCTTCAGCACTAAAGCACAGCACCTGGTGCTTAATAAATGATTATAGATTGACTGGTGCTATTTTTATCTATGTTTCCCCCACCTCCATTAATCTTCAATAAACCAATTAATTATTTGTTAGAAGTCTTCCTCTAGGTCAAGGGTTCTTAACCTGTTTTGTGTCATGGACCTTTTGGCAATCTGGTGAAGCCTATGGATCCCTTCTCAGAATGAGGTTTTTAAATGCATAAAATAAAATACATAGAGCTACTAAGGAAACCAATTTTATTGAAATACAGTGATCAAAATATTTTTTAAAAAACAAGTTCATCTACCCCAGGCTTAGAATTCCTGTTCTAGGTCTAAACATGTTATGGGTACCACTGCATCATTCAGGCTGTCCTGATATTCCTCAATATCTCTATATGGCAGGCCCACCTCCTTTTCCAATCAATTATTTCTTTTTAATATCTATTATGCCAACCCTTGCACACAAGTCTGTGGAGGTAATATGTTGTAGCCTAATGTCTTAGGTCAGGAACATGCTGACCTCAAATACAAATTTACAATCTGGAAAGACTGAATCAATGAAGCAACTAATAATAATTCTTAAAAACCCTTTTACTAAATATAAATATAAAAAAATAAATATTAACAAGCACATAGCAAAGATGTAAGCAAGCATTTGCCAAGTATATACAGGTGCAGTTCTTCAGGCCCCTGTCCATGGGGACCCACCCAGGATCAACTGACCCAGATAATTAATAACAGCCATAAGGGAAATAAAGTTTGCCAAATATGAAGACCTGCAACTCTTCTTGATACTGGCTTATATAAAATATAGCTCTACATCTTTGTATGAGACTCCAAAAAAAGTGAGACAGTGCATTTAGCCCATCCCATTCAGGGTGTCCATGATCAAGGGCTACATATATGTTTTAAATCATTAATATAATGCAATCTAATCTTCCGAAGGCTTGAGCAAAAGGAATATAACACACTCCACATTCTTGAAATTTGTAAGGAATCTAAATTAAGCCCCCCAGCTTATAGCTGGCAGACTCCACTCTCCTCCCTTTTTAGAACATTACTACTTCTGCCCTTCACTTGTAGCCTTCCCTCTCTTGACAACCGTTCAAAGATCACAGACAGTCTCAGCAATTGCATCTGTAAATTTTTTTTTTTCTAGAAGCCTTTGATATGGCATCAAAGGAAGCAAGGTGGAGGGGCTAGAGGGAGACAAGGAGAAATGTAATAGAGTGGAAAAATCCTAGAGATGGCATCAGAGAGCCTGGTTTTGTGTCAAGGCTCTTGGGAACAATATTTTACTTTTTCGTAGGCTTCAATTTCCTCCTCTATAAAATAAGGAGATTGGACCTCTGAGGTCGCTGCCAACTATACTTCTATGATCTTATGTCTCTTCTTCAACTTCCTATTGCCCACTTTTGTTCAGTTCTTCCTAGTATTACACTGGGCAGTATTGAAATTAAAGGGATTGTTCTCCTTGATAGAGAAATGAAATCATTTATTGAAATTAAAGAGATTGTTCTTCTTGACAGAAAAAATAAAATTATTTGTTGAAATTAAAAGGTCTGTTCTTCTTGACAGAGAAAATAAATTTATTTATTTAAATTAAAGGATTTGTTGAAATTAAAGGGATTGTTCTCTTTGACAGAGAAGATAAGATTTAATTGGTTGAATGCATTGCCGGTGAATTGTGAGCTGATCCAACCATTCTGGAGAGCAATCAACTATGCCCAAAGGGCTATAAAAATGTGCATACCCTTTGATCCAGCAATACCACTATTAGGTCTGTATCCCAAAGAGATCATAAAAAAGGGAAAAGGATCTACATGTACAAAAATATTTATAGCAGCACTTTTTGTGGTAGCAAAGAATAGAAAATTGAGTGGATACCCATCAAGTGG